CGTGCATTGTTTGCGCGTTGTGGGTGCGGTTGGAAGAGGAGGAGGGAAGGCCAAGTGATGACTTGGTCGATAGAAATGAAAACCCTCACCTCGAAGTTGGCGTCGGTTGGTGCATCCCGACTGCCTGGCTGCGGTCCTAAGGACGGTGAACAAGTTTGATTGGACACACTCGCTGATATGGCTTGGAGCCGGCCCCAATGGCGTTTGTGTTGTGAGTTCCTTTGTCCATCCCCCTCCAATCACGATCTCACTTGTTAGGCATAATATGACTCTTTTATGGCAGCCAGCTGTTAGCTCTCCGGAACGATGTCCATCCGTTACTGGGGACTCAGCGGGCGTGCCACCGTTTGTTTTCCTTTGCTTGTCTTTTGTATTGCGGCACAATAGCTGAGGTGTTTTCCACCTCCAGCTAACGTGCAATGATGATGATGATGATCAGACATGGACCTGCTTAGGGACAAACTTGTTGGACTTACAAGATAGAGCACAGGCGATGTGCGGCGAAATAAGTGGACTAGTCGGAAGGATGCGGTTAAAGATGTGGGAGACCTGTACTGGTGAGTTGATAGCATCATGCACAAAGGATCGCTGTGTGGTAGTCTTGAAAATGGAACATGTAGTGAGCACTGTAACACCAAGCGTCAACTTTATGAGAGTCAAACGTTTAAATCACCGTCAGTTTCCGTCACTTTTGCAAGAAATGGATCCAGAGTTCGTGGATATACCGTATCATAAAGAGGAACGATGGGTTGGCCGTGGAAAAGTTCTCACTAGAATTTTCCGGCTGATTAAAGAAATCTATCAGTTCATGGACAGCAAAGGAAAAGACTCCATAGTTTTGCGGGACGAAAAGTGGAAATGTGAGCTGGCGTTTCCGTCTGACATAAGCACTCATCTCAACGTCTTGAATTGCAGCGCCAGAGACGCGACCACCGATATGCTTGATGCAGTAAAGGCATTTCAAGTGAAGCTGGGCTTATGGGAAACGCAAATACACCAGTGTGAACTATCTAATTTCCCTTGTTGCAAAGCAATGTTGACCCAAGTTAGCGCCATGCTGTTCCAAAGTGCACACTGCTGGAAAACAGCTCACTTCACGTTGATTTCGCACGGCGCCTTAGTGACTTTGACGCACGGAAAAGCAATTTCGTGGTAACTGCACTTGTACATTTGCAGATGGAGCACACAGAGTGTAATGGGGCAGCAAAGGCGAAGTAGGAGACTGTGGAGCCCACACTGTTCATTCGTTTCATTCCTAAAGCGATGAACCAGCTTCGCTTACATGCGGCTGGCACCTTGAGTATGTTTGGTATCTGTGTGAGCACCTGTACTCTGTGATGAAGAATAAGAAAAGATCACATAGAAGACGTCTCACTGATGAACACCTGCAGTCTATCCTGAGAACCTCGTAACATAGAACCTTGTTCCAAACATAAATGAACTTGTTACCAAGAAAAGGTGCCAAACATCCAGCTCTGATAAATTGGCATAAGAACTAAAAGTAGAATGCGGTAATTTGTTATTATTTTAACGTGTCGTTTTTGGTTAATATCATTGCTTAAAAAAGGTTTAGTTTTCCACTGCCCAATGAATGTTTATGCAGTGTGGTCCACAACCTTAAGTGTGAGTTCAGTTTTGGCCCGCCGTGAGATTAAGTTAGACACCTTTGGTGTAGAGCACCGTATTGATGGTGGGTTGCTGAACATCCGTCATTTCGGGGCGAGAACAATGGTGTGTGAGGCAACCATCCCTATGCTGCTGTTTGCCGACGACTGCGCGTTGTGTGCACACTGCGCAGATGAGTGGTAGCACACGACTTCGGTTCTCGCTTCGACAACGACCAAATTCGTCCTCACGATCAACATAAACAACACTGTTTGGCTTTCTGGGCCTTCTCCCAAAGTGAAGTCCGTGGGCCTGCCGCAAAATTAACATTGGCAACAACGTTTTGGACATTACTACGAGATTTTGCTACCTAGGAAACGTAATGTCTACCGAATTACATGGGACGAGTGAGTTGCGCATCCGCGTATCGAAAGTGGTTGCCGCCTTTGGAAAACCGGAGGAATGTATGTTGGACAATCATCTGCTTACTGCCAGGACGAAGCTGATGAAATAAAAGTCTATAGTGTTGTCCGTTCCTCTATACGTCAGCAAAACCTGGAAGATATACTGGAAGCATGCCCAAAATCTGGAGCGATTTCAACAATAATGCCCGCGCCGTATTCCGCGCATCGGCTGAGGTGACCGGGTTGCTGATACGGAGGTGCTTCGCTGCAGTGTAATGCACTGCACACTTCTGCTGAGACAGATGAGGTGGCTGGGGCGTATCAGCTGATTGAATTCGACGCAGATACTCAAGCCGCTGCTATATGGACAACTTTGGTGCAAGGAAGCAGAACGCGGAAAAACTTAAGTTACATTAGTAGGACATGATCAAGGTGAGTATGTCACGAATTAATGTTGAGTTCAGATGTTGGGAAGAGATGCCTGTTGATCCGCTCGAATGCCGTGAGCTAATCAAGAGGAGCGGTTGCAAAGGTACAGGAGAAAGCACTATTGCACTCAGGATAAACGTCAATCGAGGAAGCGACAGGTGCCGTTGAAAGGTAGTCCGACGACATGGAGCGCATGGTGCTGTAGCACATGCGGTCGCGAGTGCCTGAGTCAAGTCCGTTTAGTAGGACATCAGCGTCGCCATGCGGGTCCAATATCGAAGAGACGACGAACGAGTTGAGTAGGTAAACGGCTTCGGTGCAGTGCTTGGTATTTGCACGGTCTCCGAATCAATTCCATCTACTAGCCCAGGTTAATAAAGTAGTGGATGTGGCACGTGTGACATATCATCGCTGCAGTTGATCCGTTCATGTGCCTGCGTGTAGAGGCTCTTGGATTTCAAGTGTTGGCTATTGATTGATATCCCCGGTGTGGCTGCGTCCGATGTGAATGTTGAAAAGGTCCTTAACGGTTAACAAACCGCAACTTCGTCTATAAATGCTCCAGAGACAGTTACCCGTTTCTTGGGCAGACGGGGTGCAAGATCCTCGGCTAAAAGTCAGTATAGAGCAGACAACGGTCAAACCACAGCCTTATGTACGTCTGATACGCATGACCCCAAAATTAGACAGAGAGGAACGCTACTGTGCATGTTGAGGGAGTGTGAGCCGGCTCCGCCGAGGAAACGTGGCTCCCATCCACATACCTCTCGGGCTTACACATATGGTTGGCGGCATCCGGTTTCGGATTTGCCTGTCACTGTGGCAAGCCACAGGACGCCTGCGCCTACAGACGCACCATGAGTGACTTGTGCTGCACCACCCACAGCTCCATCCACACACCCCATATCCAGTGTAAACCAGAAGGAATAAGACCGGGAGGCATGTGGATGGGAGCCACGTTTCATCAACGGAGCCGGCCCACACTCCTTCACAGCAAACACAAGCACGCTGTATTTGGGAATCAAGCGCACACAAGGCGGTGGCTGGACCGTAGTCCGCTCCACACTGAGTGCATAGAACCACTCTTCGAGCCTAACACGGCCACAAGGACCGTGCACCTTGTCCCCTCCAGCAACGACAAACAGTCTCCTGGAGCCAGTATGGACGACGTAGTGGGTAATAGACAGGTAGGCACCTTGTCAACATGCACATCAAGCGTAGCCACACCGGGAATATCAAGCAACAACCAATCACTTGAGAGAGAGATACAGAGAAAATAGCTCGATTAATGCATAAGGAAACGGTGACATAAACCTTAAGTTAATGAGCATAGGAAATAAGTTGTTTACAAACGAATCCTAGATGAGTTCACGAGGTCAGAAAGTATACTTTACGGAAATGCCACGAACACAAAAATGTTATGGAAATCGAATACAATTGGCTTAAGCGAGGTGTGCAAGTTAATGGAATAGAGTACAGGTAGACATTTCTATGAGAAAGAAAAGCAGTAGGGCAAAATTGAAAACCCACCACCTGAAATAAAGAGACTTAGCATGCAAGCACGCGGTTAGTAAATCGAATGCAGCGTACCTACAAACGCTGCGCCGGTTCTGCCTACATTCTCTGCAGGACCCGTCGTCGCTTCGGTAGTGGTCCCGAGTGACCTCGCTCATGGCTCACTAGGCCTGCCTGACTCAGGCACTCGCGACCGCATGTGCTACAGCACCATGCGCTCGATGTCGATGGTGTACAACCCATCGGTGCTTGCCGCTTCCGCAATTGCCGCTTATTCTCTGCATGTATGAGGTCTTTTCTCCGCACTTCGGCAACTGCCTTGGTGCTTAGATCGCGCCATGCACGCCGATCAACCGCCTTCGATTCCCATGACATGCAATCAAGATTAGAACGTGTGAGGCTCACTTTAATCATGTCCTGGTAACGTAACTTTGGTTTCCACACGTGCCGTTTCCGAATACTCCGCTGACCATATAATAGCTGCTTCGGTATCCGAGTCGAATCCATACGGCTCACATGACCGAGCCACCTCAGGTGTCTCAGCAAAAGTATGCAGTCCACTGCATACATTCCACTTCGGCGCAACACTTCGGTGTCTGCAACTCGGTCGCCCACGCCGATGCGCAAAATCCGTCGCAAGCACTGTTGATGGAACCGCTCGAGATATCGCACATCCCGACGGTACATCGTCTACGTTTCACTGCCGTATAGAAGAACGGACAGTACCATGGATTTGTACACCATCAGCTTCGTGCCAATGGTAAGCTGATGGTTGTTCGACACTCGGTACTCTAGCTTCCCGAATGCCGCCGCTGCCTTCGACACGCGGATACGCAGCTCACTGTGCAGCTGCTGATCAGTCGACATCACACTCCCAAGGTAGCAAAAGCGGGAGGTGGTTTCTAATACTTCAGCACCAATGCTGATTCGCGGCAATATTGAAGATTGCACCTTGCAAATTACAAAGCACGACCGAACGCGAGAAAAAAGCAGCGCGACACATAGTATAAGTGTGTGCGTACGTGAGAGAACTCAGCCAATTCATACCTGATACCATGAATGGGCCCGGGTGATTGGGTTCGCAAGCATGACAATAACTTTCGCACCAGGAATTAGCGAACGAAGACGAGCCGGAGTCTTAGTATTCGTGAAATAAGTCGCCGATTTCTCGAAACGAATAATTCGGGTAGATTGGTTGGCGTGTCGGTCAAATTGATCCATGTACCACAGGATGCCACGACCGTAAATGGAGTCGGAACTGAAGAATTGCAATTCCTCGAATGTGGTCCCGTTTTGAAAGTGATTGGCTGCAAACGACGGATGAAGGCGTAGAAAATGCACCAGAGCCGTGGTCCCTGTGGGGTAGAATAAGGGGCGTCGTTTAACACAGTAGAACAGCATAGAACAATATGCAACAGACACATGAGAAGAGGAAAACCGACCGGAATAGAGGTATGGGAAGATGAAACTGCTATTCACACAGAGCAGTTTATAGTAGAGATATGTGAAGAAGCTGTATGTGTATACGTTCGTAAGTGAGTGAAAAATATTCAAAGTCAAGGTAAGAAAGTATACTGCAGGACACACCCATCACAAACAACAATGCAATCGCAACCAGCGTTGTAATCAAAAACTGGGGCATGCTCAGTGAGGGTTGTCCACTCTAACAGGTCGGCCAATGACCGTGGTTCAGGCGTCTGGTTTGTAATCCAAAGGTCACCGATTCGAGAATACACAGATACGGTCGACCTTAAAGTATCACAATTTGCACGCGACTGGCGGTGGTTGCGTGGTGGTGCAGCGTTAGTATAAGATTTCGGCCTACCACTACTATTACTGTGAGGTTTCAACATGCATGTGGTGTGAGTTACAGCTACTTAGACTCCCCTCCGATTGGTGAGCACTATGCATATGTGGCTCAGTTCGACTGACAGTGGCACTGATCAATGACACATCTCATTAAACCAATGGGTCGTATTATCCACAGTCCTGTCTAGGTCTGCACGCCCTGGCAGGATCCCAGCCCACATACAACCATGACATTTTCTTCAAACACAAACTTCATCCTGCATCGACCGTCGCGCAGATTATCAAGGGTCACCTTATCTGTTGCATACAGCAGGGCGGATAAGCGAAAACATGCTACTGCTGGCGCCTCCCTTCTTTCTTTCCACCTGTTTCTCTTACTCCCATTACTAACCTTCTATAATTCCAGGATTAATTGACAGCAACCGAAGTGCCACTGGAGTAGAACCATATGCAGACACCTCGCGAAACGCACCGGAGGCTTATCGCCAACCGTCCCACGCAGTCCCGTTTCCATGGCGACGTTCAACGTTGGCACCCTTAGAGAAATAGTCAACAGGCTGCACCCGCACGCAATTTGGACACGCTGAGTATTGACGTGTGTTGTGTGTCCGAAACTAGGATCAATGACCCTAATGGAGTTGTTTAATTAACAGCGCCCGGCTCGTCCTCTCGCTATTGGTTGCACGCATCCGGAGACGCCGATGCAGCACTCACGGGGCAAGCTGGGGTAAGCATTATTCTAAGCCCAAGGCTGAGCCATTGTTGGTTGATTGGATTCCGCAAAATCTTCCAGCCGATCCGCACCACTGGTCCCAGAAAACCAGGCGTCAGTGAGACAATCAGAGACAGCGCCAGTGCACTGATACACAGTAAGGAATGCCGTATGGCTCGCTGGGCGGAACAATTTCAAGATCAGTTCAGCTGCCCCCCTGATCCCGGACCTCTTCCTAATCAGGTGATGCAGGACGAGAATTAGACGGTTAGTTTAGAGTATCCGTCGGAGGCCGAGGTCCGAAAGGCGATCAAAACCCTCAATCGTTTTCGTGCCGCTGATCCGCATTTCCGCCCACCTGCACTATTTAAGGATGGAGGTGAGGTCCTCTGCAAAGCACTGATCTTCCTATTCAAATGTATCTGGAAGGAAGAGAATGTCCCGGATAATTGGAGCGAATCGATTATAGTGGCAATATACAAGAAGGGCAATCGCACAGACTGTACTAACCACAGGAGTATTAGCCTAACGCCAGTCGTGACAAAATTACTGGCCTCTATTCTCGTTCGTCGCCTCACTGCGGAATGGGAATCTCGGAGCAGGAAAGAGCAAGCCGATTTCCGCCCAGGACGTGGCTGTATAGACCATATATTCACTTTGCGACAGAAACTAGAGCAGCGCCACGCATAACACAGACCGACAATAGTTGTGTCCCTCGATTTCAAGAGTGCGTTCGATTCAGTTGATCGATGCATTCTGTTCGAAATACTTGAGCGGAAACGTGTTCCCACGAAATATGTGAACATCCTTCGTGCTCTATACTCGAACACTACAGGCCGCGTCAGGGTCTACGGTGTCCTATCGGATAGCTTTCCGACCACAAGTGGCGTTCGTCAGAGTTGTCCGGTTTCCCCATTTTTGTTCAATTTCGTCGTGGATTCTATCATGGAGTGCTCCCATGCGGAATCTCACGATGTAGGCGTTGAGGTCTTCGCTAGTGAAAGGTTAATCAATCTTGATTATGCGGACGATATCGTCTTGCTTTTCGACGATGTTGCGGCGGCACAATCAACCCTGAATAGCCTGTCCAGAGTTGTCCCATTATTTGATATGCACTTCGCACCTTCAAAGTGTAAAGTGTTGCTGCAGGACCACCAGCCACTTTATGACCCTTTGACCGTTGCTAACGAGGAACTCACAGTAGTTGATCAATTCACTTATCTTGGCAGCTGCATCAGCAACGAGGAGCGCATAAAAACTGACGTCAGCTCACACATTGCAAAGGCCAGAACTGCCTTCTTGAACCTGTGGCATCTTGGGTGACAGAAAAGAGTTTCCCTCCGTTTGAAAGGCCGTGTACACAAAACCACAGTGAGGGCCGTTCTGCACTATGGGAGTAGGACTTGCCTCCTTCGGTCTGAAGATCTGAGGCGCCTTCAAGTCTTTGGTCACCGTTTTCTGCGAAACATTGCTGGTGTCAGATGGCACCAGCGTGCCCGCAACGATTATGTGCGTAGGCGAGTACTAGGTGGTGATAATCATGCTAACTCCCCAGAACAACAGAGAGCACTGAATAAGTTGCGTTGGCTCGAGCACGTGCTATGTATGCCTGGTCACCGCTCAACTAGAAGGGCCTTGTTAAGTCTGCCAGGTGTAGGGTGGCGCAAAGCTCGAGGTGGACAGAAGTTGACTTGGCAGCGGGAAATGAAGTCACTGACGACCAAACTGGGTGCTGTTGGTCCGTCTCGCCTTCCGGGTTGGAGTCCACGTGACTCGCCTTGTGCTTGGCTCGAGATTTTACAGAACATGGCTCACAACCGACACCAGTGACGCGTCTGCTGCCGTCTCCTAATCGGATTGTCTGTTTAAAGTGTGTTTGGTGCTGAGTTATCTGCGGGGTAATGGCTGATTATGACGCGGGGCAGTGAAAGCCGCAAGGAAGCTGTCTCGCCGAGGCTGCCTTATCTTTGCACGAGTGCCAGCTGTTTGTGATGGTATGTTGTCTACACAAGGTGTATGCGCCTTGACCCTGAATGTTTGTTTAGGGCATCCAGGTAAGTCCCCCTTCTCTCTTTATTATTCTTTATTTTATAGGTCCTCATGGTTGTATGGCAGCGAAGCATCAGTTCAAATGGCTGATGAACAATGAACAATGATTTATCACGGAATAAAAGCCAGTGCTTGACACGTCCCGCAGGATGGTTGAGGTGAATATGATGAAATCAAAATATATCTGGGTCATCTACCGAATGTCTGCCGAGATGAATACTTTGATAATTAACATCAGTGTAAAATTAAAATAAATTATCAAGCGTAAACGTTCAGAAAGACACTGGGGTGCAGTGGTCGTTGATATAAGAAGTGAGAAAAGTAAGATATGGTCGCTCACTTAGGTCCATTTGATACATAAATCCTGCTGAAAAGCATGTTTGGCGTAATCCACAATAGAGGAGTTTAGGTAACAAAATAATGGGAGCTAATCGTTTTTGAAAACATCCAAGGTAAGAGAGGATACAACTGAGTCTGGGAGTGCGTTCCAGGGTTGGCAAACCCGAAGGAGAAAGTAATTACGTCGACATTCTAGACGGCTATATTGTTCCTTCAATTTTAAGCAGTTACCCCTGAGCTGCGTGTTGTGGCTAAGTTTCAGCAAATGGCGGCATACGTGGTTGAGGTCACTCAGTATCTGATATGCTAATATGAGATCTCCGCGCAGCCTTCGATAGCGTCCGCTGAAAATTCCCAGCAACTTCAGCCTTCGGTGGTAAGAGTGATAGCCCAGGCCCTTTACATTCTTTGTTGCTCTTCATTGTGGTGCTTCTAACGCTCCTAGGTCGCGCTTCAACCAAGGTTGCCAAGCTTGGATAGCGTACTCAACATGCAGGCGCACGTAGGAATTGTGCATCATTGGGAAGATGTATGGGTCAAATCTCCCGAATGTCCTTCGCAGCATGCCGACGTGCTGGTTGCCTCTTTTCGCAGCTACCTCAGCCTGTTTTGAACAGTTGAGGTCGCTCTGTACGATCACACCAAGGTCACGTTCCTGGGAGCTATTCCGCCATCCGTTTGTCCAAAGTAAATAGGTGCAGTTATGTCTATGGCGTAATTGTACAACGCGACATTTTTCTACGTTGAATGGCAGGGCGTTTTGAACTGACCAGTTCGACAATGTGTTAAGATCGCACTGGAGCTGTCTGTGTTCTTCCAGTCCTCTGATCCTTTGCCATATCTTGAGATCATCAGCGAAAAATAGGAATTTGGAAGCAAATGATCTCGCCAAATCGTTAATGAACACCAAGAATAGACGAGGTCCAAGAACCGAGCCTTGGGGTACTCCACATGCCACGTCGATTGCATCAGACAATGATTCTCGGACTCTCACCACTAGCCGTCGTCCCTGTAGAAAATTGCCAATCCAACTCAGGATTGGGTCGCCAATGCCGTAATTCCGAAACTTCTGAAGGAGAATTCGATGGTCTATGCGATCAAACGCTTTTGAAAAGTCCAGGTAGATGACATCGACTCCTACTCCATCATCAACAGCTTCAGTCCAGCTATTATGTGCAATTAATAGGTAAGTATTACACGAATGCTTTTAACGAAAACCATGTTGCTCTGGGGCTATTAAGTTGTGGCTTTCCAGGTATTGCATCAGCGCATCTGTGATGATTGGTTCCATCACTTTGGATAGTACGGGAAGTAGTGTTATTGCTGTTGTTGATTATCCAGTCATGTACACAGTCCGGGTCTAACTTTCATCAGCATTCCAGTTTCTTAATGTCTGCGCACAATTGTAAATAGCTGATAACATTGAAAGGAACATTTTTTCTCGCA